AAATAGCAGTTAGACACTGTTCAAAGGGCAATAAAACAATAAAATTTAATTATAAATAGATGTATACTGTTACGAACTTTGAGCTACTTAGGATAAATGAATGTAGTTTCATGTTACAATTTGAAGTCATTCTAGAAATAAATAAAGGGTAATTTAGATAAATTTAATTTTTTTTTGGTGGTTACGAGGTCAGTCGAATTGACTGATCTTGTTTTGAGATACAATGGAGAAAATAACACATAAACTATAAAGTTTTACTGAAAAAAAAAACGTTTGAAATGAATTAAGGAGATTTTGGGGATTACACAAAGGAAATTTAAGATTTTTGAGATGAGGAAAAGTATTTTTAATTTTAACATGAAAATTACTTTGCATACGGACTATTCAAAACAAATACTCAATATATTAATGGACAAATATTTATTTTATTTATTAAAATACTTCACTAAAAAATATGATTTTTTGTATGTGGAAGACTTATAATATGAACTAAAAGACTGCCAAATTTTATGACATACTATGTTGAAAGTTAGAAGTATTAAACCTTTAAAGACTTTAATCAAGTACAAAGAGCTTATGTGACTGAGGCTGTGTTGAAAGATTTAAGCAGCTGCCAATCTTTTATACTTCTGCTATTGCCTTTTTACGTTTAACTTTCAATTGTGATATGAATGATTTCACTTGCAATTTGGTAGGGAAGGTCGAAGCATCACGATAGTCAGCAGCAGGACGAGCATACCGAAACCCTTTAAAAGCAGCTACAGGCATAATATTATATTTAGTTTGATGAACAATATCTACCAAGATGGTTCTAAATGGTTCCTGAATACTTCTGCATGTTATTTGGAGACTTCCATGCTTCTTGTGCTTCGCCATTAAACTTGTGATGTGCTGACAGATTTCAGTCACCTTTTTGCAGCCCCAATGCTAAAAGTGTGCGGGAAATGCCTTCTTTTAAGCCAATAGAAATGTCCAAAAAATTTCAGTTCAAATTAAGAAAAACCGGGTTTGAGTGTTGTTTTTTTTTTAACAAAAATGTCCCCCACTAGCTCATGAGGGGCCTGTTAAAAAAAACACAAATAAAAGTGTTAGAATTCATATTATCATTTCCACCAATAATGTAAAACAATAACAGTTTTGTAACATTAGGTTTTTAAAACCAAAACCAAATAAAAGTGTCACAATTTATATTACTGGAGGAAATGATTATATTTAAATGTTTTTTCATTTGTATCTAAAAAAAACTATCTTCAAGGCACAGGGACAATTACTCAAAGTTGTCCATGTTTTTCTCAAGGCCAAATCTATGTTGGTTGCTCCAGAGATTGAAATGGAGAGAACATTTTCATCTTGTCACCAAATAAAAAAAACATGCAACATTGTCTATCCTGAAGTTCTACATGGATAAAAATTATCAAACACCATAACAAACTGTGATTTGAAATCCTCAGTGTAATGATAAAGTTTTATAAGAAGAATAAATAATTCTATCTAACAATTAATGTTCAACTTGTATAAGTTTTAGGTATCATCAAAATGTCAGGGCTTCAGATTGAATCACACAAGCAAACCCGGAGAAAAAAATTAAAAATATATACAGAGTTTATTAGTAAAAACAGTATGTCTTTCTTTTTAGTATTAGTATTTCATTATTACAACAAACAATTAAACAATTAAATTGGTTCTCTTCAGTACATAAGAAACTTTCAAGGGAAACAAAAACCACTAATCTTCATCAGTTACTTGACAGGAACTGTGTAAAGGGCTTGACCTTATTACCAACACATAGAACTATGTAAAGATGGGTAATACAAAATATGCTATCTTTCTTAAAAACTTACTGGCCTTCACTAAAAACACAAGAATTAATGCCAACACATAGACACTAACCTTCGAGGAACAGTCTTGACTAAAGTTAGGCAGTATGTCATTGTTTTTATAGCTGCTACTCGTACTTGAGGATAACGGTCATTCACAAGAAATAACTATAAAAAAGAAGGTAAAAACAATTTTGTTCTGTACAACAGAACTGTTTGGCATAAAACAATGTATTTCTAAAATATTATTACAACTATTCTTTAACACAATAAACAACAAATTAAAGCTGTGAATGGATTACAAAAAGTATTATGAAGACAAACCGATGATGAAGACAAAAATTCTATCTATTCATGTCTAAAAACCTTTATTGAAAATGTTTAATAAAATATACATGTTATTTCTGACTACTTTAAACGGGTACGATATTAATTATTTAAGAAAATAATCAAGGTTAGTATCATGCCAATTGTTTGCCCAAGAAATAACTTTGCTGATCACTATGAAATTGGCCTTACAATATCTATCACGTGTATGGCAAAAGAACTTGTAATTTTTTTATAAGTTTTATTGAAAAGTAGAACATAAGCATCTTTTAACATGCCATATTATTAGTATGCATTTAATGAATAAAATGGTGTCACAGACAGTATTGGAGATATACTTGTCATTCAAAATCACCTTATAAGACTTTCAGAAGATTAATTAACCCTGAAACATACCTTTAACCAGAAGTATTGTTTCCACAGGTATATTTAAGTTTTCTTTGTTCATGTTTCATTTTTTTTTCATAATTTTCAGTTAAAGAACATTTCTGCTTATGCATATAAATTCCAATGACAAAGTTTGTACACTAAAAACATAATATAACACATATCATAATACTTTGGGACAACATGGGACATATTGGTCCATCTCGGCTGTTCCATAAAATGGTTAAAAATAATAAAATTTTAAACCCAGCCCATTTCATTCATATACTTATAAAGCATTTACTTAAATTTACTACCTCTACAACATCTGAAGGCAACCCATTCTAAAGACCAACCACCCTGTTAGAAAAATAAAACTGTCTTAGCTGAAGATGTCTTCTACCTTGCCAAAATTTATATTTGTGTCCCTTAGTCCTACTATTCTCATTGTTAAATATAAAAAAAGATGATACATCAACACTATCAATTCCCTTTACAATCTTAAACACCTCAATCAGATTACCCCCTAACTATTCTTTTTTCAAGAGGAAAATTTTTGTGAGATTTCAACTTCTCCTCGAATGACAACCTCCTCCATCCCAGGCATCATTCTAGTAACCCTTCTTTGAACCATTTCCAATAATGCAATGTCCTTCCTAAGATAAAGAGCCCAAGATTGAATGCAATATTCAAATGTGGCCTAACCAGTGACCTGTACAATGAAATTATAACCTCTTTAGACTTGTATTCAGTATTTCTATAGATACAACTTAAGATCCTATTTGCCCTACCACTAGCAACAGCACACTGCTTGGATGGCTTTAGGGACTGATCGACTATTACACCAAGATCCCTTTCCTTCATAACAATATTAATGTTATTCCCATCCAAATTATACTTATAATTCAAATTATGATAACCCACAGGCATTATCTTGCATTTATTATAATTAAAACCCATCTGCCATTTATTTTCCCAACTCGCAAATGATCTAAATCATTCTTTAAATCAGCAGCACCCTCTTCACAACTAGCAAAACCCAAGGCCTTAATATCATCTGCAAATTTAAGTAATTTATTGACTATCCCTTCATCTACATCATTGATGTAAATCAAAAAGAGCAAAGGTCCTAAGACTGAGCCCTGAGGTACCCCACTTGTGACATTAATCCAATTGGACTGAACTCCATTAGTAGCAACCCTCTGTTTTTCCCATCCAGCCACTCTGCTATCCAATTAACTAACTTATCCCCCACACCTATAGTGCTATGTTGCACCTTGTCAAATGCTTTCTAAGAATCAAGACACACCAAATCTACACCCTTACTCTCATCTACATAAGCAGTAACCTTTTCAAAGAATGTTAAAACACTTGTAAGGCAAGATTTTCCCTTAGTGAAACCATGTTGATTATCCAATAAAATTCTAAACTTCATTACATCTTTTAACAAACTTTCCAAAATTTTCCCACAACTGATGCAAGTCTAATGGGTCTATAATTACTGGGATAATTTTTATCACCTCCCTTGAAAAGAGGAATTACATTAGCTAACTTCCAATCCTCTGCCCACTATTCAAGGACTGACAAAAATTGTTTCCTTTCATATCATAGTTCTACATAATATTACAATGAATTATATTCCATCTAAGGTTTGGATATGCTGTATAAAATTCATGCTATTCTTCCTTATGATGTAATCTTTTTTTCTTTTTTTTAAAATTGTATATATATATATATATATATATAATATATACATACAGACACACATATAGACACAGACACAATAATGAACTATAACAAAGTAAAAATACAATGACAAACATGCTGCAATACAGGACTTCACTACTGAAGAGAGTGGAACCTATGTGGACAAAGAACTCTTTGGTATATCCACACCTGCACTGTTACAATTTTGTGTTGTACTTATGAAACACATCCTTCAAGGCAAACACATTATCTCTGGACAGCCTAATATTCAATTCTTAACAAATTTTATCTACAAACATCTGTATTAGCGCCTTCCAATACTAATGATACTGTTGATGTTTATTCATCCTTTCAAATGTCACCCAGCATACAAGATGACAGCAACCTTCAGCTGCTCTTAAAGTTAACATTTTCCTAAAATGAAAATCTTTTTCTCACAGATACTTACCTCTCCTCAATAAAAAGCTTTTATCAATTAGTATTGCCCTCTATCAGTGTAGATTTCCAATGCTTACCACCTTCCACTTCTGCATATCCACATGTAATTATGCAGCAGCTCTCCAGCAATAGGAGTGTGACACACCCCCTATTATAACCAGCAATCTCTCCACATTTGCACTCATTAATCACCTCGAGATTGGTAATAGGACCTACATCACATATCGCTGTGGGGAGGCTAGGTGGGAAATGTGAGAGGAGGTAAATTTCTATCAGAAATACATTTTCAGTTTAGAAAAATGTTAACTTCCAATACAATATCTTACCTCTACTCACAAAATAGTTAGAATCCCACACTGAACTGGTGGAGGACTGGTGAAAAAATGATCCCCCTTTAGGAAATGAGGTGTGGAACCAAAGAAGAAAATATCACATCTCAGTAGGAGACCTCTCCACATCTGATCCAGGTATACTTTTTACTATTTTATGACTGTGTAAGGAACATAAAAAACAGAAAAACAAGAGGGAGTCCCGTAATACCTACTTAGTTAGACTTCATTCAACACCTGATGGTACCTGGAATTGTATGTCAGTACCACTGTAGGCAGAGGATCACCGACCTCTTCACCTTGAAACGGGAATTGGTAGGGAAGACGAGCTTCCGTACCAAAATCTGTTTCTATTTGCACACATTTCCAACCCATCCAACACCTAATCCACCACAAACTGATATCCAACAGATGGTAGGAGGGTGGAAAGTCCTGGTGGGATGACATCTCCAGTCCAAAACCTGGTAGCATTGGGTATGTTTCTTTAGCACACAGTAGGAGGATGATACCTAACTATATAAAAGTGCAAAGACATGTGCTGCGTCCAGCTACAACCAACACCTGCTGGGAAATGACATCCAGCAAAAAGTAGGAAGATGAACCGCAAACCTGGGGTGCATCTCCAGTCTTAAAACTTGGAAGCACTGGGCATTTATCATCCAGTCCATTGCAGGAGGAGGGATACCGGCCAGAACACATGTGAGGACTTACTTAGCTGGATCATCTCCAACCAATACCTGACCCCCTAGGAATGTACATCCAGATACATATATATTAATGCAGTGTAATGTTACAACTAAAACCTGGCAGCATCTGGAATTGTACATCAGGTCCATGGTAGGAAGTGCTACATGCCATCGACTCCTACAGAATGCCACTGCCCTACTTTCTACTGAGTGATGCATCACTCAGAAGGACAGGCCTCCATGGTCCACCATCTCAGTGGCTAGGAACTAGTAAGTGGCAAGGACTCCGATACTCTACTAGAAGAAAGGAGGAAAAAATGCAATGGAGAGTCTAAAGGACCACATCACTGGAGACAGTGTAACAGGTGACCATGATACCCTATTTTGAAAAGCAGAGCTACCACATCGATGGAATCAATCAACCAACACCCAGTGGCATCTGTAATTGTACGTCAGGTCTGCGGTAGGAAGAGTCTCAATGCTGCAGAACATCAGAGATGGGCACCAATCCCTGTCTGCTTTACTCACGTGTGTCCATGAGTGTACAGTCTGGGACAAGCATATTTATGAACCAAAAGACCACTAGAGAGAACTACTAGCGGTCCTACAGAACACCCATCTCTACAGCATGCGTAACCTAATCCTGTGACATAATTGTTTTGGCATAGATGACAATGGAATGGAGACACACAACAACATCTGGCAGCATCTGAAATTGACATCAGGTCCATGGTAGGAAGAGCTACAACATAATTGACATCAAGCATCGTCACAGGATGGACAGTGCGGATGTAAAAACATATATATACCGGGTCAGGCACCACTCACCACAGAGTGGAATCCATAATACACTAGCAAAAAAGGTCCCTGTAAATAAAGAAATATCAAAAACATAGTATATCAGTCATAACAACACTGTGGTGTGTAAGATGGTGACAGGACAGGAAGTAAATGAAAATCCACTGAGCCAAAAGACGGCCATGTGATGTAAGTAATGTGAAACAAAGATATGAGGTGAAGTCCATATACAGGCCTCAATGATGACCTCCAAAGGAAGACAAATATAGGCAGCCATTGATGTGACAGATTTGATGAGAAGATACCATAAAAAGATGACATTCCTCAGGTGACAGGGAAGAATACAAAAGCCTATTTAACTGGCAAATCTAATTTGTAATGGTAAGGTGAGAGAGGACCTGGGACACACAGGAATTCCATGGAATAAACGAATGGTTACTTGAACCATGGAAGGGAGCAATGTGGGTGAGATAATATCACAGAACCTGAACAGGACAAGGAGGTGATCAGGAACAGAACGATCATAAATGTAGGAAATGGAAGATAATTAAATGAGAGAAAAGTGGAAATACCCTCCCTAGTGGCAGAAGTCTTGGACAAAAATGAATGGCCAGGAAAAAGGAGAACATAGGAACTGTGAAACAGTACACGGCAAGCATCAATCACAAGAATCTCAAATTGCTGCCAGCCACAAGCAAATAATGTGAGGAATAGGAATTTGAAAGGAAACATGAAGTCAAAGGTTCAAACAGAGGATGAGTGAGAGCATGAAGGAAAACATTGATATTCCAATCCTGGAGAGACTCAGGTTGGAGAGGATGGGAAAAGGAAAATTAATGAAATAATAAAGGCAAAATGGGAGATTAGGAGACAAGGGCAAACTCAGTAAATCCAAACATTCAAGAAATTGCACCCTGATAGCTAGCAATCGAGGAAACAGACAGACCCCCTATTGAAAAGACAAGTGAAAAATGCAGTCAATTGTGGTAGGGAAGGTTGTGAAGGATGATATCTTTGTCGGAGAGATCATCAGCAGAAAGTATACCATTTATGCAAATAAACAGTCAAGGAGGAATGATGTACAGGGTGAGCAATCAATGAGGCAACATACCTGTGAAAATCTGAACTGTCTGGTGAAGGATCAAACAAAAGCCACACATGAGGCTAAATGGGGAGGAATGAATGGATAACACATGATTGATTGAGGTTGATGAAGGAGTGTGTGAGAGACAATAGCAAACGAAGGGGAGGAGACACCAAAAGTCTGTGCAGAAGTGGAAACCACGTCTGAGCAGGCCAAAATGGAGACACTACACGAAGTTCTCTGAACCAACAAAATAACTCTAGGAAGAAGACGAATAGGAGGATATGCATACAGGTAATACCCCTTACAGTTTTGAGTGAGTGCATCTATAGATTCTGCCAAAAGATGAGGAACAGGACACCAAGAACAGGGAAGTTGTACATTGAGATGTATGGCAAAATCACCCATATCTAGAAAACCCCAAGGGGCATAAAATTCCCGAAACACCCCAACCTGAAAGGGAAGGATCTATAAAAAATGACAATCTGGTCGAGGTGGTGAAAGAGGAACACTGATGGTAGTATTGGTCCAATCCAACCACCAAGCGAAGTCGCCCAGTAGTTGGGGAGGCAGGGTAATAGGAGCATCTAAGGGATCCCGAATGAGGCTCCATTGGTCAAGTAACACCCACTGAAGGTGATACATGTGGGTGTGACAAAAGGGAATGAGGACTTCGAGAGAAGCCCATGTCTCCAAAAAAGATAGAGTCTCTTGTGCAGTAGGAAAGGAAGAAGCTGATAGACTTTGAACAAGACATTCCATACCCCATAAACAATGGGGAGAAAGTTGGGCCAGACTGATGAGGAAATTGAAAAACACACCTAGATGAATTAGATATTGTGTGGGTGTGAGAAACAACTCCACCTTGATGAGCCAACCCACTCTGGCAGCCTCTTGAAAAAGAAAATGAGTATGAACAGCAGATTCAACCTGAGAGGAGGCCAAAAGTAGCCAGTCATCCATGTAATGGTGGAAACGAAGGCCTCTAGAATGAAACAGTCGAGTGAATGACCTGACTACTTGGCAGAAGGAGCCAAAGCTAGGCCATATAGTAGAGCCTGAAACTGATAAACAGGCCCTTCATAAACCAAAATGTAGATAACAATGGGAAGCCTGGAAGATGGGAATGTGTAGATAGGATTCCGACATGTAGACCTTTGTCATCCACAACCTGGGAGTGAAAATCCAACAAAGGATTAAGTAAGGCTCCATTGTGTATTTGGTTAAAACCACGAAACAATGCAGAGAAGGTAAATCTATAACCAGCTGCCAATTTCCCGTCTTTTTTAGCACAATGAACAACCAGGAGTAAAACCCCAGCTGAGATGGTTCCCAAGTTCTATGGCCTCTTTTTGAAGTAAATCCCAAACTGTCTCCTATAGATACTGGCAATAAGACAATGGAGGAGGAGAATGGATGAGAAGGGCCAGACCCTCTGAAAGAACCTGTAGGACCCATTGACCTGTTGCAAATGGTGTCTATATTTAGCAAAAATAGAAAAGCCTGGGGTTGAGTCAAAGCTGCATTGGGGGAGGGGGTTGATACACAGAAACAGTAGGAGAAGGTTGGGATAAATTGGAAGCTAATGAGGATAATGAATTATGCAGACGAGCAGACTCAACTTCGGCCTCCAATGAGTTGGAGGCCCGCCAAGCACCACTTCACATTAAAAATGTACCATGCACAAGTTGCACAGGGAAATAGCAGGTAAACGTACTTGAGAAAAAATGTCATTCGACCTAGAAGGTCACAACAGCATATCAGCCATGTCTGAATATCCAGGGCCAAGGACGAAAGGCATGTCATTGCAGTAAACAGAAGACTGCAAACATCATCTGAAAACCCTTCAGGAGACAAGTGAATTGCCTGAGCCAGAAAGTACATAGTTGATAATGCATACAGAATTGTGGACAACATCAGTCTGATACATGAAAATTGAAGTTGTGAGAAATGCACTGATGTATTAGGATTCGAACCCCACAATGTAATGAGAGATCCCAAATTTTTGGAATCAAGATAAGGCATCTAGATCTATGAAATGCATAAGCATGATCTTCAGATGTATGAAGGGGATGAGGCATACTAGCCCCCACCCGAAGTCGATCCCCAAAACACTAGGCATGAACCTCAACATCAGGTAAGGAAGGGAATACTAAATATTGGCCCACAGATTCTTCAACAAGGAGGGCAGATTGAGAAATATAGAAAACAGGAGATAAGGATAAGACAGCACAAATCTGATTAATTAATTCCACAAAGATTGAAGGAGGTCTGGGTAAATCCCACAATATCACTTATGACTGGGAAGCATATTCAGAGGAGGGGAATAGGCTGTCCAAATCCTTAATCATAACTGTCAGACACCCCAGGAGCAGGTATAATAGGATATTCCTCAAGTGGTGGTGAAGGTTGCATGAAAGTGGACATTTCCCATTGAATAATTGCCCTCACATCCTCAGCCAATAATTGAGTACTCAACCCAGTAGTAGTAGTCAAGAAACCCACAGCAGGACTAACAGTTGTGGTAGTTGTAACTACCTGAAACTGCGAGTGTATTGTGACAATTCCAAACATGAAGCAAAATAAAAATATGAAAAAATTAGAAAAAGTTGGAAAAAGCAACCTTTCACTATTCAAAAACATGAAAAAATAAAGATATATTAAAGAAAACCTATGTATGTAGTAAAAAGGAAAAGTTTGAACTGATTAACTAATGCAAGGTTATGACAAGGGTTGTGTATCACTCCTGCATAATCCTTTCCATGTGGATATGGAGAAGTGGGAGGTCAAAGGTTAGTGGCAAGCTTGAAAACTGGTGCTGATAGAGGGCAGCACTAATAAAGAAAAGCTATTTTGTGAAAGGAGGTAAGATCGGAAGCAATCACTTCATCTTAACTTATCTGTATGGTGAGGTCATTTTGACCATAAGCAAGAATGTTATTGGACATTTACAGAATATGAACCTTAATTGTGCAAACCTTGTGGCAGTCAACAGCAGATTAAAAACTATATCTTTTTACTGGATGGAGGAATTGGTGAGTCTGTTGTCTCATGCTGGAAATCATTTTCATGTTGTTTGGTCAGTCTGACCAGTTTTCAGTCAATAAAGAATAGCATGTTTTATGCTATTTTATATTCAGACCATGGAATTCTGAATCCTTTAGTTTATCTAATCTGCTTAAAGACCCTTAAAAGTTCAGAACTTCTCTTTCCTACAGCAGTCCCTACTGTTTTACATCTATGTAGGAAGTCCTCAAGTAACCAGAATCACCTGCCTCATGACAGACGTGTGAAGGATTCAATCTTTCTAACAACCTTTAAACTAGATGACTGCTACAGGATCTACAGACTAAATATTTGTTTTTCCTGAAAGGTAGAACATATTAAAAACACTTTGAAAAACAGTCCATTTCACCCATATTGATCTTGGAAATGAAATTAAAGATCAAAATCAAGGTTGGATCTTTTCACACCTTAAATGTTATCCAATGTAGAGTTTATTCAGTACGGGCACACATTTTTAACAAAAACTGCTATTACAAGCTGAAAATCATTTAATATGATATGTCATAAAAACTTCACATATAAAACATATATTAGAAAATTAATCAAATATTAAATGTTTACATGTCTTGCACAAATTTTTTTATATTACCTGCTCCTACTGTACAGTATATTGGAGAAATGACTATAAAATGTTATAAAAACTTCAAATAAAACATTTAGAATGAATATACTGGTCTATTGAATATTACCTATTTTTAATAGCATAACCCATAATTTGTAAAGTGTTACAAATAAGTAATTGAAAAAAATGAGTTTGGCTATATATTGACTTAACTCTGGCATGTTTATATAATAATTACTTTGGCCCATATGAACCATTCTTAAATTATAAATGTCACAAGCCTATTAATCATTATAAATATGCTCACCATATATGGCAAAAGCCTGTCAAGAATAACCTCAGAACTCAGTAGCTCAGCCATCTGTCTTAACACCTCCAAGGCATGAAGTTTAGCTGTACAGTGTTTAAGGGCACGTAAACAAGATGTAACTAGTGAAACTATGATGACCAAGCCATCATTGACTCTGTCATTTTTGTCTTTGGCTGAATCAGTCAACGCTTCCAGAATCTTTTTTATGTCAGGCTTCAGTCTTGAAAGTAAAAACAAAAATTAAGAAAGAAGTCAACCTTTTGGTGAAAAATTTTATCCTTTGCTCCAAAGATCAAACAATATTATTTACTTCCTATTCTTAAAAAAATCCTCTTAAACAACATAAAATGAATTAAATATCTAATTCTGTACAACATATAAGAAATTCTAACTCAAAAGTAAATAGAGAGAAAGCGAGAATGAATATAAACATATAAAAAAACATTAAAATACGGTACAATTCTAAGACTAACATTATTTAAAACACTTCTTAAAGCTTATTTTTCAGACCTAACAGACACTTAAAATATATTAAGTAACAATATTACAATATTAAATAACCAAAAAATGGGAACTGCAAGGAAATGATGGCAGAGAGATGTAAAATTTAATGTTTCTAATAAAAAAATCAAGTTTTAAGAAAAAATAGTCCCCAATCTTAGTAGTTTGAGACTGTAAGGATTTAATTCAAATGAAAGTGATTTATATGTGTGATGGTAAGAATAGTGTGTCTTAGTGCAGGTGTTTGAAATCAGTCATAAGCTATTAACCATGAGTGATTACACAACACTGTTTCAAGTAGGGCAGGACTGATTAAGCGATACAAAGACGAGTTAACTTAATGTTATAAAAGAAAGGAAGTAAATTAAGTTAAAAGTAAGTATTTAGTTAAGCAACACAGAAGACTTGAATTAATCATGATTAATAGTGCGTAAGGTTTATATTAAACAACAATAAATAATTAAACAATATGGGAGATCTAAGTTACACATAATGGAGAGTTACATGAAATACCAGTAAATTACATAATGTGTAAGGGTAAAGTTTAACTTTACAAAAAACCAAGGATTGAAAGACCATCTAAACTAGAAAAGTACAAGTTTGAAAGTAAGAGAAAAAAAAGAGGAGGAGGTCATCAAGAGAGAAACAAAATCAACAATATCTCAAATAATGAAGTAGAGCAACAGATAAAGAATGAGAAAACACAATAAAAGGACAAGTAAGAAAACAAAGAGAAAATCAGCAAACCTCTTTAAAATTGAAAACATATATATAATGAAAAACACAATGAAAGGACATGTAAGATAACAAACAGGAAATCAGCAAACCTCTTTAAAATTGAAAATTGTGTTTTTCATTATATGTGAAAGGACAAGATAACAAACAGGAAATCAGCAAACCTCTTTAAAATTGAAAACATAATGAAAAAACAATGAAAGGACATGTAAGATAACAAGGAGGAAATCAGAATACATCTTTAAAACTGATCATATAATGAAAAAACAATGAAAGGACAAGTAAGATAACAAAGTGGAAGTCAGCAAACATCTTTAAACTTGAAAACAATAATGGAGTAAAAAAGGACTGAAATGGAGACAAAGCAATTTGATGGAAAGATTGAGAAACTGGGAAAGTTACAGATTCAGTTTGTGACCTGATGGAAGAGAATTACTGAGTTAGAAAATGGAAGTAGAAAACAGACTATAAAAATTCTTATTGTCTGTTGAATTTCACGTCAAGCTACTCGAAGATAACCTAATTTTGAAGTGATAGTCAATACCATCTACTGTCAATTCATGCTACTCTAATTGAGCAGTAGGATTTGATTGTCATCTTAAAGCACTCAAAGTGAGGAGAGTTACATTTTTTGGGGCTGAAATGAGGTGTAAACCACAGCACCTCAGATATATAGTCAGGCATACTAATCACTGGGCCACTCTTGGTCCAAAGTTAGTAGTAAAAGGAATAAAAAAAAAGAGTGGAAAAATCATGGATAGAAGCCAGAAGGATGTTGTTGAAGATGTAGAGAAGAGTTCTGGTTTTAAGTCAAAAGGAATTGTGAGAGCACAGTGAGTATAAGTACAAATAAGAAAATGGACATATAAGAATTTGATACTGAAAAGAAAGGATTCTAAGTGTGAGAAAGAAGTTGAAAATCATAAAAATGGAAGATTGAGAAAGCAATGATGGATAGCATAAAGATAGGCAAGTGAACAGTCAATGGGAAGGCATTTGAATTGAGTGGAGAGACATAGTAGTTAGAAGAAGCCTCAAAAGAAAAGTGTATAGTAATGTTTTTACAAAAAGTAGTAGAGAATGGACAGACTTACAGAGGGGATGATGCAACAAGCACTGAAAAATAAAAATAATTGTTTAGAAATGTTGATGTGGAATACTACAGTTTTTAAAAAAAAGAATCAGAATTTTTAGAATTGAATTGAAAAAGTAGATATTGTAGTTCTGCTGGAAACACGGACTGAAAAGGAAGTAGAAAAAGTGTACACAGTGTGGTCACAAGTAAATAGACACCACCTTTTTAGAAAAAATGAAATTTTTCAGTCATATTCACATGAATTGATATATTTATAATTTAATTAATATTTAGTAGATCTTCCTTTCGCTTCGTGGTGTTCGTTGATCCTTTGAGGCATCGTGAGAATTATCTCGTCAAGTTTAGATTGTGGGATTTTTGCCCACTCTTGCTTCAAAACTTGGAGTAGATCGCTCTTTGAAGTTGGTTTTTTTGGTTGTTTCTTGACTTGCTGGTTGAGTATGGCCCACAAGGTTTTCGATGGGGTTCATGTCAGGAGATTGGCTCCGCCAGGGCAACTTCTGGATACCATTTTCTTTCTGCCACTTTTGGGTGTTTCTAGCAGTGTGACACGGTGCTCCATCTTCCTGGAACAATGTTGTGTTCTTGTCCACGAAACCCAAGGAATAAAGTGACAAGAGTCCTTCCTCCAATATTTCGATGTATTTCGCAAAATTTATGTTGCCAACGCACTCCACTAAGCTCGATCTCCCACCAATCCAAACAGCTTCCCAAACCATCATGCTGAAACCACCATGCTTCACAGTTGGCTGCAATATGTTGAGCCAAAACTCTTGGTGAGGCATTCTCCAGACCTATATCCTTCCACTGTCCGAAAATTGAGCAAATCTTGATTCGTCTGAGAACAATATGGTCTTCCAAAAGTCCAGAGGCTTGGTCATCATATCACTTGCTCACTTCTTTCGTCTGACTATGTTGGCAGGTCTTAATAAGGGCTTCCGTCTAACTGCTTTGCAACGATAACCCAATATGTGGAGAATCCGTTGCAC